ATCATTCAACTCACTAGCCCTAGTCCCCTTCTCATACTCCCTCCTCACAGCCTCCGCCGCCCCCTCCGGCACCTCCTCCTCCCTGCGCCGCCGATACGTCAGCAGTCTGCGTGACCACTTGTTAAACGCCTGAACGCAGACCGACGTCAGTTCGAGACAAGGATGGCTCGGGATGATGAGCTCGATGTCCTCGTCATTCGCCGTGGGCATCCACATGCTGATTCGGCCGTCGGGAACTAGTGTTGCGACTGCAAAGGCTAGTATGTCATCGAGCAGTGCGGTGAAGGAGTAGGGCCGCTTCGGGGGTATGTACCCGGGTTCTTTGAATTGGTCTTGGTGCGATTGGCGTTCTACGTCGAGTAGCGCTTGCTGGGATCCTAGCACTTTGAGGCCTTCGCGGATGCCGTAGGGTGGGTCGCATACGATGCCGTCGAGGTAGCCTGTCGTGTGATCTTTGCTGGGTGGCGGTATTCTCAGTGGGGTGTTGGTGAGGTCGGAGACGAAGGCGCCTAGGTAGCTGGACTCTAAGTCGTACTGCTTGAAGTTGCCGACGACGTCGTACTTTCCCGTCTGTCCCCTTCTTGCGCTGCCTCCTAGGCCGCGGATAGTGCGGCCGTCAATGTCACTCCCAAACACCACTGCTCCGAAGTGAGCGCATGCTATCGGGAAGCCGCCCGTGCCCATGAAAGGGTCGTAAAACAACTTCCCCGGTGCCACGTGTGCGATGTTAGCCGTCAGCAGCGTGAGCTCGGCGTCCATCGATGTAGTGCTGATGTAATGTCTCTTCTTAAGATCAAACGTCTTCTTGGCTTCGTTCCGACACGAGTCGGCGATGAAGCGACCAAAGTAAATGTACTTCGGCTTCTTAACGTTAAGATCATAGTCTTCAAAGACACGGAACGCGACGTCTGGGTTTCGCATCCGCGGTGGTCCCTTGAAGGCCATGTAGGAGAAACTGTCGATGATGTCGCGCTGCTCATCATTTGATCTACTACCGCGATAGCCTTCTATGGTAAAGCGGAAAGATGCCGTAATGTACTGCGGCCACCAGGATGTGGTCAGACTGCGGACGGAGTCGTGGAGGGCGTCGTATGTTGATCCCTGGCCCCATAGCTCGTAGATGCCCTGTGCGAGGATGCTCCGTGCGATGGCTTTTCGTGCCGCAGCCTCTGACGGCAGATCGACAATGCAGTAGGGTGACTTTGATCGTCAGAAATGTATGCTTTTGTAGGGCGTGACGCGACACTGGGGATTGCTTTTTCGGGATCTGAACCAAAACAACACTGCGGGGACGCGACTGATGAAATTGAGACTGGAAGACTGCTCGGTGAAACGAAAGGTACTTACATCTTCTTCATACTTGACAAAATGTAAAGGCACTCCCGCAATATCGGCTAGCGCTTGCAGTTCGACTTTCCGAAAACTCTCATGCGCTTGCGCAAGCCTGACGAGATACTGAGGCATGTTGTTGTTTGATTAGAGAAAATCCAGGCTAGCAGAACCCTTCCGTGTACTACGCGTCTCAGTCAGGTATCGGCATGGCAGGCGACGATCACCGCGTCGACGCTTTTATCAGTGGTAGTCCCTTTGCGTCGGAGTCACGGACCAGCAAAATGGGGCACGAAAAATGGTGGGTCAGGGTCCTCATTCTTCATTGGCTCCCGACGTCGTCGCTTAAAGTTTAAACTACATCTTTCTCCCAACCTCGCCCCGCGTCGCCTCGCATGCATCCCGATTCCGATCTTCGAGTCGACTACAAGATGCAGGGTAAGACTAGTCTACCACACTGTCTCTACGCTTCCGCTCGATGAATTCTACGTCCGCTTGCGCTTCTGTCATGTTGCACACCAGGTTTTCCACTAGCTCTTCTTTTGTCGTGAAGCCTTCGATCCACCAATCCCGGAACTTCATCAACTCACCAACCCATGCGTCCCAAAGATAATACCGGCCGTCGCTGTCCCGTAGTATGAATTCATCGCCTTTGGTTTCTTTGACCACTGGACAGAGACCTTCAATGTTGTAGTCTTTTGCAACATTTGCCTCGCGCTTCGGATCGAAACACGCAGAGAGGTACAGTTTCTTTGGATCGTTTGTCCATGATAACCGGAGGGTTGTGTCGTATTCGTCGTTGAGTTGGACGTAGGGTATGCCTTCTTCGTTTTGTGTCTTTCCCTCGTTCGTTGTGTTGGGAATAAGCCGCAGCTTTTCTAGAATGGTTGCAAACATCTGCATGTCGGTGTCGCAGCGAGGTTATGGTGGCACAGTGAGACCGGAGTCACTGTTAAGGAAATGCTTTGGTTGCGCAATCTTGAAAGTAGACTTGTGGTATGCAGAGAGACCCTGACCTGTTACAACTTGCGGACTTAATAGGGAAGTACATGCTCAACTGACGTATATCGAGGCTTACACGGTGTAGACATATCGTTTTGCTTTTTTCTCGTACCAGATCTCACGATACTTACGTGTCAGCGCAAAGACGGATGATCACGGCGCTAGATATGACGACTGCACGATAGTCACAATACGATTGTCTCGTCCAATCGTAGCGCTTCTAAGTTACTAATTCGGGTCCATTTGCGAAGGTTTAATCCACTTTCCAGTAAGTGGGATCTCGGGTACGTAGCCGTGTACCAAAAACGCAGTGTCAGATGCCGCGGGGCCGGTCGCGCGAAGATCTGAATAATCATCAGGGTCATGTTCCAGATTGATGGGCTGAGCCTTTGGGTATCTTACAACGCATGCAATGAACTACACTGTTTGTTCTCCAGATGTCATGGCTTGATGACCGCAACTCAGTCTACGAGACTTGCCACCACTGCTCACATTGTGAGAATATGATGTTAGCGGTTGTCCTCATCGGGTACCACAGCTTGAAAGCTTTGCTCATTCGATCATGAGCCCAACCTTGCCACTTCGCAACCAAAGCGCATGTCCACAGCGAGATTACCGGGGTGGTGTGACCATGAGACAAGACTGCGTGCGCACATTGGGTCCAGTTGAAGATACGGTTCCTGAGCCCCTGACATGCGGCCCCAGTTTCCCCTTGGGCTGACACGGGGCTAAATCGTGATGTTTTTGGTACGTGTGGTAGACCACTGCGGGGTTCACTGGTACTTTTTCGGAGACTTGATGTCAAAGTCGTTCGAGAACTGATACGTGTCAGTGGATGAGTGGCAGAGGATTCCAGTGCGACGCACCATCCCGTGTTCTAGGCGATCATGATCAACGTAGCTGTGTGCCGGTGTGATAGGTGTAGTTCAGGAAGCAGGTCAGTGATGAAAATGTTAGTTCAGTCTAGACGACACTGAAGGACGAACGACAGGAAACGTACACAATCACTTGCGCCCAGTCATCGGCATGAGTATGAACGACGTGGAAGAAAGAAGAGATAAGAGAAAAGTTCTATATCATAACTTAGCGCAGTTGACAAAATGAGAATGCAGACGCCAGAACGCTCATCGCTGATGCAGAGCAATGCAGCCGTCATATGAACATAACCCCCCATCAGTCTGATAGCCCTCCACCCTTCTCTCACACGCCGGCCTAAACTTTGTAGTATGTCGCATGCGCTTATTTGACACAATCCTCACGTCCACAGCCACTTGCGGCAATTCTTCGCCCCACAAAGACAAGGAAGCGCCCCCTCACCCGGCTCATCCATCTCCTCCCCCTCTTCCTTATCAAGGTAGTCAAACGTCAGTTCCTCGCCCTTTGGAATGAACCTTCGCGCAAAGAACGCAATGTCATAGACCCTGGGATCATGCTTGTTGTACGAGACGGTGTACTGCCGGCAATTCGGGTCACACGAGTGGTTGATGAACTTTGTTGGGCCGCCCATGAATTCGCCGTCCACAACGTAGAGATCTTCTTCCTTGAGGCCTTCTGACTCAGCAAACTTGTCGAGGGAATAGAGGTAAGACGCCTTTGCTTTTGACGACGAGGTTTCGCGGCGCGTGGCTTCGGCATCTGTTATGACTTCGCCGCGGTAAGTGTCGATGAATTGGCCTTCGTGGAGATCTTGTCTGCAGCGGAGACCCCAGCCACGCCCGTCATTCGCTCTAAAGATTTCCACTTCGACCTGACGCCCGAATTGAACATTCTTGTTGCGACAATTGGGGCCGCAGTTGCACTTGTCATTGCACTCGTAGATTGGACGACGGGAGTTGAGGTAAAAGGGTACGAGACAGCCGGTCTTCTCTCGTTTCGTGCCTTCGGCGAAGTAAGGGAATTTCTTCGGAAAGCCCATTGTTGAATCTCCGTTTTCGAGCGCAAGTTGGTATTCCCGCTTTCTTTCTTCATCGAGGCGGCTCTCATCCACTGCAGCGTATTCCAGACAGTCACACTTCTTTGTGTATTCGCATCCGATGTTCCGACCCATGTGGGCCGAACATTGTTGGCAGCCTTGTTGTGTTTCGACTGATGCGCGGTAGACGCCTTGTTGCTCATCTAGAACGTATTCGGAGATGTACCGAAAGCGCAGTGAGGGAGTGGCCTTGTCAACCACGTTGAACAAGTGAATGGGCTTGCCTGGTACCTTCGCCAGTCTCCGGACATATTCATTGCGGATGTACATAAGTGCTTTGTCGACACTAGAACGGTGTGCAATGCGGTTCATCTCTGGCGTGGGCACGGTGCGAATGTTAAGTTCGGGTATGTCTGGACCCGAGGCCTGTCGCATGTCAGTGAAGCAGATGAGGGGAAGCTCGCTATCAAGACTCACCTGTCTGCAGAATACATGACCATATTGATCGGCATCCAAAACGCCGTTGTATATATCACTAGCTGGAGACGTGACTGTTGCTGCAGATGACACGGATGAAGATCGAGAGGCTGACGGCGTACGACTCTCTTGTAGTCGTCGATCGAATGGTGAAGAGCGGCGTTCGTACGATGAACCCCCATCAGGGCTCTTTCGTTTCCTGGAAGGTTTTAGGTCTGAAGGTAGCGCTAGGCTCCTAGATAGGTTAGTAAGATGCCGAAAGCTAGTACTAAGATGCCGCTTACTTCTCCCTCACTTCGAGGTAGTCCTGGATTTGCTCTAGACATCGCACTAGGTCCTTAACCGAATGCCAGCTGAGCGGTGGTTTGGTAGTCGACGTGTCTGGCGTCCAGCGTACCAGATATTGCTCGTCCTAGACCCTGATATCAGCATCGCGCACGGACCATCTGGGTGAAGGAATACTAACGCCGTTCTGAACGCGATTTGACACGATAGAGTGCACCTAAAGATAGTTTTAGTATTAAAACGCGTGCGACCGAGGTTCGGAATGTACTTACGCGGTCTACTAGGACACGGCGTCTCTCGTGTCCGTTGGCCGGGATTACGACCATGGATGGCATCCCTCTGCGACTGCATCGCGTTAGCCTTCTCTCTCGGCTTGCCCGGCATGTTCGGGATCTTTTGTGATAGATTCGAGCTGTGTATTAGAACAAGTGCCGCGTTACTAGATAGATAGGTGGGCTGCGCCGCCGCGTAGGTGACAAAACTTACATACCTAGAAGACAGTAGACTAGCCGACAATCCTAGATTCTAGCAATACTAGTACGTAGAAGAGATTACTAACGTAAATAGTTTTTGTTAGATAGTTTTCTTTTACGCTGTTAGGGAAGTGAAGTTAGGCACCTAGCTGCTAGAATTAGTGCGTGACTGTAACTAACAGCAAGCAATGCTTAGTAAGCACACGCACAGACAGTGCAGCTAACACGTCTAACTTAGTTTGTACTAGCTAGCTTTAGAGCTTTCGATCTAGCTAGCTAGCACTTTAATACCTAGATAATAAATGTATAGATCTAAAGTTCTTTTTAGACATTTTAAGAGCCTTGCAAAAGGTTTTGCCAGAAAAGGCGTTTAGATGCCGCATTGTGTGCAACGCGTCGAAGCTGGTAAAACTGTAAGACGGGTTTCCTAGGCCGCGGCAAAAGATCTAGTCCTAACGCGCTTCAGAACGCAAACCCTAAAGTCTGCACACAAAACCTCTTCAAGCATGATTCTAGCCACAGGGATGCGCAGCAGTGACTTGTGGTGCCTGATTTACGCGTGTTCTCCCAAGTGCTCCCACGTGCGCTAATTTGCATGTGGCGCGGCCTTGGTGCCTTATCGCTATCTTAGCGGCATCCATGAGCCCTCCGAAAAAAGTTCGGCCCGCATGTCAGGCCTCAGAGCGAAGACAACGTCGCGACACAACACAGCACATCATGGCATCAGACGCGCAAAATAACCCCTTCATAAGGAACCTTGCTTCCAGCGGTATGAGCACAACATGCGTCAGAGGCTTTCGCTCCCGAGACTAACGTTTGCGACAGACAAGAAAGTTCGCGACAATGCACTCGATTCACTCAAGACATACCTGGGCGCGCAATCAGAGATATCAGAACTAGACCTGCTGAAGCTATGGAAGGGTCTATTCTATTGTACGCGCTCTTTGTGCCTTGGCCTAAAACACTCCCCCAAGGGCACTTCGCAACCCATCCTGCAAAGGCTAACAATAAACTTCTAGGCCTATGGATGCAAGACAAACCCGCCCTCCAGCAAGGCTTATCGCGTGACCTCGCCTCTCTCGTTTCAGCTCTCCGAACCCCCGTCGTACTCCCCTTCATCCGTGCCTTCTTCCTTACCATGTCCCGCGAATGGACCCGTATCGAAGCACTACGACTAGACAAGTACCTCTACCTCATCCGCCAATACGTCAACGCGTCCTTCACCTTTCTCAGCAGAAACAAATGGAAGAAGAGCTTGGTAGAACAATGGAATGCCGTTGTGGAGGAGACCCCACTGGAGTGCGAGAACATGAGGATTCCCAACGCACTGAGATACCATGTCATGGATGTTTGGGTCGATGAGATGGAGAGGGTTGAGGGAGGGGCGTGGGAGAAGGAGGATAAGAAGGAGACGGTGGAGACTCTGGTGTTGCCGATTGAGAAGATGGCCAAGGAGGGCAAGTTGAAGACGCTGAGGAATGCCGCGAAAGAGGTTTTGGCTGATGACAGGTTAAGAACTTGGAGGGGGCAGGAAGTGGAGATGACAGAAGAGGCTGAGGATGACGAAGATTCCGAGGCGGAGTGGGGAGGCTTCGCAGACTAAGCACTATACCAATCTGGAGGTCTGAGAGACACATTGCATATGATTTCAGCGAGGCGTTTATGGAGATTTGTCCTGCACATGGGGCATGGAAAAGTATTATAATTCGGAAAGCAATCTACAAGACACCGAACTTGAAAAGAGCATTGCAAGAAATGAGATGCCACTTTCATGGATTATCTCTCAGCTTCTCCACCGTCTCAGTCTTCCCGGGTATTAATAGTACCATCTAGATCAGATCAGCGGTACACTTTCGCCCATTCCGCACACAATACTTACATCCGTCACTCCTCCTCGCAGCACCGTCACCCGTCTTCTCCTCCGTGTACCGACCGAGGAAATCCGGCCTCACAAAAAGCACGTACAACCTCCACAAAAGCGGCGGTACCAAACACGCCACACTGACGGCAGCAACCTTCTTACTGAGTGCCGCACCCGGCCCCCCACCCTCCAACAAATCCAACACGATCATTGGGATCAAAGCCGCCTCTCCGAGCCCCAAGAGCATATATGTAGGTCGTCGGCTCTCGATGCCATTGCGCGTATTGGTCGCGCCGGCGAGTAAAGCGGATGTTAGACCGCCTACGATTAAACCGCCGCACAGACGGGCAAAGAGGACTGAGGTAGGGTTGATATCGCGGGAGGGGTTGTTGAGGAGCAGGGAGAGCGTCCAGCGCGTGTTTGTTATCAGCGGGATGGTGAAGAGGTTTGCGAAGGCTTCTAGAAGGAAGGCTTTGCGGATTATGGAACCGGTTGCCGATGGGTCGGGTGTGATGGTTGGGTTTGCGGCTGGTGATTTTGTTGTCGGCATTTTGATGGTTCAGAAAGTTGTTTGCATAGGGCGCATGGGAGGTATTGGGCGTAGATATGGATTAGGTATTTGTTTACATGTATCCGGATATGTCGATGTCGTAGTCCATATTCCAGTCTACTTGACTTGGCGTGACTAATGCGGACGTCATGATTTCGTTACCCAAAAAGAAAGATTAAGGGAGCGAAATCGCCATTTTTATCATGCGGTCATGACAAAAGCCTAGCTGATCTTGGATCAGATGGATGCATCGACCTCTCCTGACTCGCTCCATATGTGTACGCATGCAGGGTGCGTTGCATCCTGGTTAGTCGCGTGTCTAGTCAGGAACGCGTCCATGATCTTTTGAGGCCGAAACTTGGCATACAGTGATGCATCATGTGTGTCTATGCACCTGCGCTCTATACATCTCGTTGGCCTAGTGAGTTTGCGGCTTGTGACGTGTGGTCTCCTGGTGAAGATCCGCGAGCTGGACGCTGTCAGCACTCAACCATCGTCGCATCGTTCAGATACGTGAAATCGATAGCCAATGATTAATTTCAGGCATCTAGGTATAGCGCTGGCGCAGTAGTGATAGTTATGAAGCTCGCGTGAAAGATGGGTTATGATGTCAGATGAGGGCTAACGGACCGACCAACCATAGCAGACCTCAGCTTTCTTGGACCGCCGGCTACTGACCGCCAAATACTTCCGGCAGTAATCTTTCGTCACCCACCACACAATTGAACGCAACTTTTGGGCCCATCATGGGTCGTCGACCCAACCAGTTAATTCTCGAGTACTTCGAGCGCGGACCCAAGCTGGAAGATGCAAGCAACCGCTACCAGCACACGTGCAAGTCGTGCGGCGAAAAGGTGAGTGACCCCGCTCCGCAAAAAAGTTGACGGTGTAGAGTGAGCAATAATAGCTTACACATGGCAGTTTCCCAAAGGTCGCATAGACAGCCTCACGAACCACCTCGTCAAGAAATGTCCCGCTTTACCGCTTCAAGACCGCCAGCGCGCGCTGCTGCAGATGCACGAGCTGCCACTCCCCGACAATATGACGCAGACGGCCACCACCAACGCACCCGGACCGAGCCAGATGCAGCATGGCCAGAAGATGAACCTGCCTTTTGCGCCGTCGAAGCAGCTGTCTGCGCTTGAGACGCTGGCGGAAGTGTCGCGACAACATCTGGACCTTTCCGGAAAGCGCATGGCAGAGAAGCAGCCATCGCAGGCGCACAACAACCATGGCAACCACAACCATAACAACAATGCGAGCCACGCAGGACTTTTGGAAGAGTTTCTGATACAGGATGATCGGCCCGATGGCTCTGATATGGGCGGCCTCTCACACGGGATGGACATGTCGCATGCGCCAGCAATGCCCTCCATGTACCAGTTCAATGGATCATTACATCACTCTCCAACTGCATCACCACACATGGGTCATATACCTCTGTCAAGCTCTGGATCGATGTCGCACATGGTTCCGTCTCTCGTCATGGCAGCATCAGCAGCGAATGACCTCATGCCGCTGTCAAACGGTATGCCTATGGAGTCGGACATGAATCTCTCAGCACATGGTATGCAGGGTATGTCAGACGGCAAGTTCTTCCATCCCCAAGGACGAGGACATTGGCCGAACATACAGCCCAACTCACTAGACCCGATGCTACAAGACCATGGCAAAGAGCAGATGCACGCGAACGACCAGTTAAATAAGGGAATGAGCCACCAACGACCACTTGCAATGAGTCCAGGCAACCAGACCCACTTCACCACCGACTTCAGCATGAACCAGAAGCCGGCTAAGCCCAAGGTTAGGGGACGTTTCACAGACTCCAGACGGAAAGAAGTACAGGAGGTGCGCAAACGAGGCGCGTGCATTCGATGTCGCATGCTCAAAAAGCCATGTTCGGGCGACAATCCATGCAACACCTGTCAGAACGTCGAGAGTGCGCGACTATGGAAGCAGCCATGTATCAGGACAAGGATTGCAGAAGAGTTCGGTCTCTACTCTGCAGGTCTTCATAGCGTCTTAGCATTCCATGCAACGAATCAAGCCAAGGGCCAGATACGGCTCGATCAGACTCCAGGGCGTATAGAAGCGACTCACTTCCCTCATTCCGGTATCTTTGCTACTTTCACGCCGCTGAAGTGTCAGCAGACGCAGACAGCGCAAAACGCGGACATCGATCCTGCGATCTTCGCTGGACTAGCTACTCCGGATCTCGAACTCATAGACAGTGATGACGATGTCAGTGGGAAGCTAGACCACTATATCAAAAAGATGGGTGGCCACTTTGCCGATACCGAAGACTCGAACTTCATGAGGATGACTGTACAGACCGCCAAGAGCGTTGCATCGTCAAGCGCAGATGGACTAATATCAAAGGCCCTAGAACTCTGGAATCTCACGCGCGTGCTCACGTCCCGGAACTTTGAATGGTTTCTCTTT